GGCGCTGCCCCAGTTACAGAGCAGAGATTCCCTCCCCAATCCTGAGAGGGGGCAGGGGCTGTTCATCTGATCCCAAGCCCATCGCTGCCTTCCATCTCCTCCTGCCCCCATGCTCCCTCTCCGGACCTTGCTGTAGGAGGGGTGGACCCAGGAAAACCTGGGGTTAGATGAAGACTTCTTAAAAGAAACACTGGAGATGGAATAGCGTGCTAATTTAGTTGACTCCTGCCTGCTGAGTCAACGCTGACTCCTGGCCAGTGAGTCATTCTCTGCAACCCATAGACCTGCGGCCCCTTTCACTCGGGCCAGGCTGGGACAATGGGCACTTCTGGAACAGGACCAGGGCACACCTGAGTCGGCCACTTCACCTGGGGACAACCTAAAATGACTCTTGAGCCATTGTGTGATCCCAGGCAGCGAAGGCGAGGGGAAGGAGGGAATCACCGTTTACCGAAGGCCTGGGGCAGGCCTTTCCCACGCGTCTCATTTACTCCCCACCTCAGCCCCTCCCCAGTCACAGGAATTCTGCTTCTATGGATGGGTCCATTTGGGTGCAGATTCCATCCAGTGCTTCCAGCTGACTTTACTGAGTGCCACCAGTGCAAGGGGCCCAGCCCCGCCCTCAAGAAGTTCCTGATTTGGGGTGAGAGCAGGGAGTCTGGCGGGGGGACCCTCACAGCAGGGTGTGGGTGCTGAAGGAGGCACAGGAGAGAGGGGACTGATAACCAGTAGCGTGGTTTCTCAGCTGTGTCTTTAGTTATCCCAGGAGTATCAGGCGTGTGTTCTCAAGTGCATGTAAAAGCTGGTTTGAGGGCAGGCCTTGAGTTCGAATCATTTCTATGGGCTTAGTGCCTAGCATGAGCCTGCTGCAGAAGGGGCACCCAGTCCTTGCTTGCAGAACGAATGAATAAGTGGATGAATGAATGAATGAACGAACGAACGAATGAACAAACTAAAGAACCAGGGGCCAAGCCGGCTGAACTGAGTTGAACGCAGTGCAGGAACAAATAGAGAACGTGGGTTAGGCCTGAGCAGGCTGCAGCCCCTGGAGGGTGTTCCAAGACTCTGGGAGGATTTGAGTATTGCCTAAGCTCCAAGTTCTGGGGAGCTGCACCCTGGAATCCCAGTCTTTGTGGAAACCCTCAGAGCCATCTTTTTGGTCATCTTCATTTTGCCCAGAAGGAAACCCATTGGGCAAGGCTGGTCCTGTGGGAAGGAGCAGAGCTTGGGGCACACCATCTCCTCTAATCCTTCACTGCCCTGTTAAGGCTGGCTCTGGCCCCAGCCCCAGGCAAGAGGATGGAGAGGGCTGCGTGCCTGCCCTTATCGCCCTCACCCAACTGACCATACTCACCAGAACGACCTCTAGGATCAAGGGAAAGGCCTCCATTGCCAGAGGGCCCAGAGAAGAGGCAGCTGACCCAGGAGGGATATGGGAGGAGCTGTAATCCAGACCCTGATCTGTTCATTGACCTCCTTCGCACAATGGGACTGGAAGGCCCAGTGGCACCCAGGACTGAGGCTTCTGCAGAGGGCAGGGCAGATCTGGCTGGACTCTGCTGAGGTTTCAAGCAAAACAAGAAGGGGCGAGAAGGACCTGAGTTGGTCAATGAGAACCAAGCCTGTGGGCCGTGAGTTAGAGGAATCCTGGCCAGGATGAATGTGCAGCACCTCCTACCCCCCGGAACAGGTCAGCCGTTTAGCAGTGCCTTTATTGGACACCACTCATGTGCATGGGAGGAAGGGAAGGGGATGGAATTAATATTTAGCTAGCATGTGGCGTTTACTTTGTGCTTTGCACTGGGCACCTCTTTTTACCCCATTTTATTTCTTTAGCTTCCCCATGAAACAGCACTAGGGTTCCCATTTTTCAGATGAGGAAACTGAGGGGTTACGTAACTCACTGTGTCAGGCCGCTGGTGTGGGTGTGACAGGGGTGGGGTCCCAGGCTCCCCTTTGCCATCCTCTGAGGGAAGCCAAAGGCCTCAGGTGGGCGAGATTTCCCATCACCTGTCAGCTGGGCTCCGGCCTCCCCTTCCGTTCCTAGGCACTGCCCACCTCCCAGGCAGTGGCTTGAATGGCAGGTGTTTTGCTTCCCCCATCTCCTCAAGCCCCCTGCCCCCAACTTCTATCCTGAAGACAATCTTGAGGCTCATGTGTGGAGAGAGATCCCACTTGCTGGGTGGGGTTGCGGATTAGACACAGGAGATGGGGGCAGCTCCCAGGTCATGACCTTGAGAACCCCAAGGCTTTCCTATCACCTTGGCTCCCAAGGTGTCCTGGCTCTGTGTCGGAGGGTTCCCGGATCGCTCCTCGGGGGAACGAAAAGGCAGTCTGTGGAGCTGAGAGGACTTTGGGACAAGTTCAGGAGTTTGATTCAGGAGGTGGCAGCGAGAACGAGGGGGCCAGGAAGAGAAGGAGAAGGAATTC